ACCCGAACGGTTCGGACACCGCCGAGATGCCCGAGATGTCCCGTGTACAACCATAGCAGCGCGGAATCGCTTCTGAACCTTGTCGGGGACCTCGCCCTGTAATAATAGTTTGAGGATGGCGTCGGGGGCGTCGGCGGGGCTAGCGATGAGATATGTCTGCAAGGAGGCAATCGCCTGCGCGCCAGGAACCTTGATGCGGCGAAGTAGTTCGCGCAGATGCTGGTCAACGGAAGGTCCGTACGCTTGCTGATAACGATGGTGTTATTCGCGAGGAACGGTGCGGGGTCCCATGTCGTGGGATTTTGGGCCACCGCGGCAAGGAATTGGAGGGTGCGGGGAGTGAAGTCGAGCCAAACTGGAGCTCCGGCTGGGATCGGCAAATGGCCTTCTGCGTCGCAGTAAGCGGCCACAACGGCTTGGACGGTCTCGAGGTCGGTAGTGCCCGTCGCAGCAGCAGTCTGGAGGGATACCTCTCTCGTCGCGAGTTGACGGTATCGTTCAGCCCACACCTCACCGATCATCGGGCTCCGCGACAACCCGCTCTCCCGGCGTTGGAGCGTATCCTTCTCCGGATCGTCGACGAAGAGTTGATGACGGGCTTCGCGGCGCTCCGCATTAGTAGGGTCTCGCTGAGCCTGTCGCTCCGTCTCCGACAATGCCTAGAAGAATGAGAATCAGTATCAAGCGTGATGTACAAAATATGCGGTCGTACGCCTGTATTTTGCCCGTGGATCTTGGGTTTGGCGGTGACGGGGGCCGGAGGGTCATCCTTCTCCTGTGAGATGGCATAAGCAGGAATTTGTGAGCAAACAAAGTTACTGACCACAGCTTTGCCCTTGCCCTTTTTTTCCACAGGCCTGGCGACATCCTCCGAGATACTCTATCATCAGCGTAAGTGACGATATTAATTGCGCCACAGTAAAAATGTGTACCTTTTTGTTGGCGAGCTCATCCTTCTCCTTGGCCGCAGATTTGGATGACGACGCAAATTTAGACGAAGACGCCGCCTGCAACTTGCTCAGTGACGAAATCATCAAATATCGTGAAAGTAAATACCGGTGGGCCGAAAAAGTGACTGAGCCCCAACTGCTTCGTTGCGGGTTTCGACGCCTGTCTCTCTCAATTACGATTCAACAACATGAAAATAAAATACCAACCGTCTTGGTTCCCTTCTACGCCATGTCAGCTGCAAAGAAATAATACAGGGAAAAAAAACCCACTATAGGGGCCGGCGGCAGAGCGTCCACTTCCTCGTGCTGACGACGCGTCGCGTTAACCCACCAGAATACGAGTCCAATGAACGGTACATACCGAAGAGGCATCGAAAGGCTGGCCGTTATCGTCCGTGCCGTCCTGCGCGACTGGCGGCTGCGCGACGCATGAGATGGCAGGACTGAGGAAATGCGAGGATGCGTACCGGGAAAGGCTCCCAAAACGCGGAATCGTCGTCGCCCTCCGCAGGGCCGTGGGTCCGCCCGTTTTTCTTCGGCGGCGGCTTAAGGCGCGTCAGCATGTAGCGGATGTGGAGGAGAGCGCGCTTACAATGTCGCTAGTCGACACCGCGGAACCCTGGAGCGGACGCTTAGAGCGATGTGCACACAAAGATATGCCTCTTACCGTTCGTTTGAGTGTGCGCATCGGAGGAAGAGGAGGAAGCAAGGACCGAGCCACCGGGACGCGTCACGGAGCTGGACCGACGAGGGCTGGTCAAATCGCCGTTGGAAGGCCGAATCCAGCGCGAACCCCCGCGCATTTGCAGATAAATCCGCGCTAAATTTCGCCGGACACTGTTCTTTCGAGGCCGACGACAGACATGTCGATCGAAATTGACCAAGATCCTGCTCCAATATTTGCGTTTGGTAGACTGACTGCCCAAAGAAGGTCCATGACGCGTGATGCGCATGGTTACTTCCGCCCGAAGCGTCGGGACACCGGCACGAGGAACGTCGAGCAGAACCGAGCAGGAGATTGTCGATGGATAGGACTGAATACGGGACCTTAATTGGGTTAATGAAGACAGGGAAGCGCGAGCGTCGAATGACTTCAGCCTTCGCGACTAGGAAAAACATTCAAGGGACCCAAGTCGAAATTTGAAAAGTCCATGACCGGAATCGAAAAGTCCATGACCAGAATCGAGAGGCCAGGGAAGGAAGATTCATCCTAGTGGTTGCAGGACTGCCGGGCGATACGCGCCCGACAGTCCTTGCGGCCCGTGCGCGCAAAATCCAAGTTGAAGGCAAGTTGAAGCTGTTTGGCGGGGCTTACATAACGTATTTCCCACGGCACTCATTATTTCTGTCCAAATCCGTCCAAGGATAACGAAATCCACTGCGAAATCCACTGCGAAATCCACTGCAAAGGCAAAGTGCGGTTTTCGCGAGTAGAGCATTCCTAGTTGAACTGAAGAGGCACGAGTCGGCCGGGTGATCCCGATCGGGAAACGGAGTGGCAGCTGTCAGATTGGACCCCTAAATCCGTCCTGTGGATCCACAGGACGCAAGTCCAGTCCCAGGACTGTTACAGCTGTAGTTTAGTTTGAGTTTCTGAAGTGCCTTCCCAATCCCTTGCGGCATCATTTACACGATGTTCTTCTTTTTTTAACAGTTATATTTCAGAATACACAGGGCCCTCTGGGTAGCCCTGTTCCCTCTTGAAGTGAGCTCAGATTTGAAGATACAGTCAAGACCCTTGAGTCAATAAATTTGTTCAAAAACGGTGAGATACAGTTCAACACGGTGTTTAAAGTATTTCTTGAATTGTTAAACTTATAAAATCACGTGCGTCCGAAGCCTTTTTAAACTCCGCCAGGCAATCCGTGTATTAGTGCGACAGAAGTTCCATAAAGAAACGCTCTCAGTTAAGATGCCGACTGCGCTTTTGTATCGGTCGCATTCACTTTCTGCAATCGTCCACAACTTCCTCGCGTGTCCAAAAAAAAAACCCCTATTTCAAGACACTTGTAGCCACATCAATACTTATCTACAGTCGGATTCCACATAACCCATAGCCCTGATCACCCATAGTTCCTTATAACCCATAGCTTTTGGGTCTTTACATACTATGTTAGTAGTGCACCGAATCTCAGAACACCAGAAGGCCGTATGACCAGAAAAGCAGCTCGTGTACGACGCGAAGATCGGCTTATGGGCGAAGACACGGAATGGGTGGACAAAGATGCCAATTGCATTGGTGAGTGTACACTTCTTGACTTCGGATTTCAAACGTGGCTTGCGACACTTGGATTCTGCTGGACTGAAATTGGTGGTCAGATCCTTTCGTACGCCAAATGGACACCATGCTCAGTCGTTTCGTACATCAAACACGTCGAAACGAAGTCAATTCTCTATCTACTACAACCATTACTGATTACTTCTCTCATTTGTCCAAGTAGACACCAGACAGTCCCAAATAATCAATATCTTATTGCACCTCCCTTTGTTTCGACAGGAAGGCTCATGTCGTGCAAGGCCTGAATGCCCAGAGCTACTCTCTTGATTACGTGGATAAGAATGCACTTTCTCGTGGCCGGCAGAAATAAAAAATTACCAGGTTAAGATAGTCGATATCAGTCTCGTATTTCTTGACATAATCTCATTTGCCTGTTTATTCGGAAAGATTAGTTGTTTGAACAGGATCCGAAGACGAAAACACTAGCCTGCTAAGGGCTAGCCATGTACCTCGTGTCTAATGTAAGTGGCGGGTTATAGCTGAGACGACAAAATCTTACGGGAATGGACGGTCTTCCTGGCAGCCGTAAAACGGGAGGACGTGTGTTCCTTGGTCTGTTTTCCATAAATCTTTTCAGATCTCGCATTCTCGATTGAAACGTTAGCCATTCGTGGTAACACGACTCAATAACAAGTTCGGAGATGACTGACGCGCAAACTTTCAAGTTGGTTGCTCGAACAATTTTTATGGTGACCTTTTCTCGCTCTAGATATAGACCTTGGGACGTATGAAATCCAAGAGCGGACCAGGAATCAAGAGATGAGCCTTCGTAGCGGCAGTACACCTCCATACTATTCCAGACTGGGAAGCCCCGCTTCAATTTTCCTGAGCACGTATACAGTGATAGACTCTAGCTGTGGCTTCGCGTCCTCGGGCATGTTGGGTGACGGCCTAATGTGCAGGTTTAACAAAGGGGCCAGAGCGCCTCACTGGAAGACTTCGAGAGAAGTTCGGCGGCAAGAGCCGATCACTTATTTGCGCAGGCTTACGATTCTCGGCCGGCCGTCTCCGACGTGGCTCTATCGATCTCTCCTCTAGTTATTCAACCCTCGACGTTCTTGGACACCCCTCACGCCAATTCCAGATCCAATGCCTGACCATCACCTTCCACAGCCACCTGGAACCACCCATCGCTGACTGACACCGACACAAACACTGTTTCCACCATATCTCGGCCATTTCTTATTCGATTTAGGCTTTCTTGGGCTCGTTCGACCCGGAAACCATCCCCGAATCATAACCTGCTCATCGCAGGACACCTCAAATCACAAGCCCACCTTCCTGTTGCAGCTGAGCTGTCCCACTCGCATTCGACAGCGCAGATCAGTTTTAGAGTTGTCCCACGCATGTTTTAATCCGTTCTCGCCCATTTGTTATTCGATTTACATGTTTTCAGGCCCGTTCGACTCCCCTTGACCCCCCGCGTCGAGTGTGCATCATCTCCGACGTTAAAACGCCCACTTGGCTAAGTGGTTTACAGCGCGGCACTTGTATAAATAGCTCTCATGAGAGCTAACGGACATGCCGAGATCACTCGTTCAACTCGGGTAGTGGGCAATTGTTTTGTTTTACTGTTGCTGTCTTCCCATCACGTGATTCGATAGATGTGGATGCGCGTAGATCTTGGCTAAGTGGTTTACAGCGCGGCACTTGTATAAAGAGCTCCTAGAGTTTGAGACATGCCGAGATCACTCGTTCAACTCGGGTAGTGGGCAGTTGTTTTGTTTTACTGTTCCTGTCTTCCCATCACGTGATTCGATAGATGTGGATGGGCCTAGATCTTGGCTAAGTGGTTTACAGCGCGGCACTTGTATAAAGAGCTCTCGTGAGAGCTAATAGACATGCCGAGATCACTCGTTCAACTCGGGTAGTGGGCATTTTTTTCACTGTTTGCTGTCTTTCCATCACGTGATTCGATGGATGCGGAGGCAGATTATCCGAAGCCAGCTTAGTGATCTAACACTGCAATACTCCTCACATATCCCTCTGGTCCAAGGCCGTTTGGAGCGTGATGATAATGGCAATTTTGTTCAAAAATGTAAGTAGCTCTTGGCTAAGTGGTTTACAGCGCGGTACTTGTATAAAGCGGGTAAGGCCGACAAGCGGCACAGCCCGCTACCAGCAGGCTCATTTCGTGTAGATTTCAGACTGAATTTGTGTGAGCAGATTGTCCTTGCCTTGAATAAGATTGAGTGTATGAAAAATGGGCGGTCCAAAGTTCGCTCGGTCAATGTCGCGGGCGTCCCGCGACGTCGACCAGCTTACATTGGACCGCGGTAAATCGATCTGGCTCATGGGCTAGTTTTTATTTCATGAGGAAAGAGATTTCTTAGTCGAGTTCGACTTTCCCTCCATACTATTGTTGTCCCCCCAATGACAGAGGCAGTGATCGCAGCCGAAAGAATCATTTCTATTTGATGGTTTCCCTTCGGCACCTCGAATTGGGCTCTCTAGTATGTCCTCTATGCACTCAAATAATTTCAAGATTTTAGGTTGAGACCGAGGAAAGATGTTGTCATCCCGAGGGCGGGACACCATGTGGTAGCGGATTTCGGATGTATTTGGCAGGGTCACAAACCGTCACAAAAACGTCCCTTTCATTTATTGCATGCCTCAGAGGGCTCATATGGCCACAGAATTTGTTCAGACCATGCCTGGCATGTGAATCCACATTCACGATTTTTCCTGGGGCAGAAGAAGGAAAAATGGGGTCGGCATCAGTGAGACTACCACATCAGGGTGCACTGTCAGAAGGGGTACTATAATAGTATGTTGAGAAATCGGAGTCAGCATGGTTACGAGTGCAACTGCGGCAATCAGCGGCAAACTGCCCGGCCGAAGACAGGCCGGAGGATTTTGGCGGGGATGATACGTGCTTACGAGAAAACAGCTGACGAAAATGTGATGGTCCGCCAAAACATGGGCTGATAGGGCGCTATATAAGAACCCGTACCTAAAGGTAGCGGGAATAGAGAGCTCCTAGAGCATGAGACATGCCGAGATCACTTGCTCAACTCGGGTAGTGGGCATTTTTTTCACTGTTGCTGTCTTTCCATCACGTGATTCGATGGATGCAGAGGCAGATTATCCGAAGGCGGCTTGGTGATCTAACGCTGCAATACTCCTCACATATCCCTCTGCCAAGGCCGTTTGGAGCGTGATGATAATGGCAATTTTGTTCAAATGCCGGTCAAACTGCACCAATATCTCCGTGTTCCAGTACCTGCACACTGCAAGGCACTCACTCGCCTCAACCTATCAGCACATAGGCTCGGAATTGAGCTCTTGTGCTACGGAGAGCGCTATTGCAGGCGTACACCACGGGAGTGGAGGCTCTGTCGTTTCTGCCGTTCCACGGTTGAGAATGAGAGCCCTGCATTGTTAGGATGCATGCCGGAGCCGTCCCTCATCACACTGCGACGGGAATTTCTGGTTGATGTGTATCAGCTTATGCCAGACTACCCCAGGGTATGGAACTCCATGGTCGTGTTCTTGCTCACCCTTGCACAATGCTGGAATTTTGACATCACCTAGCGGTTCCATAGATGTTCCTAGCACTTGGCTAAGTGGTTACAGCGTGGCACTTGTATAAATAGCTCCTCAGAGAGTTAGGAGACATGCCGAGATCACTCGTTCAACTCGAGTAGTGGGCATTTTCTTTTTTCACTGGTCTTCCAGAAAAATCCAGGCAGATAATCTTAATAGGCTACTAAATGCTGAGACCATTCGAGAATGGTGGCAGATTATCCGAAGCTTTATCGACCCAAAGAGAAACTGTATTGTACCAGGGTTCAAACTCCCCAAAAAGGCACATTACATGTATGACACAGTTAACCATTCAACCACACAAGCATTGAGAGGTAGGGCACCATGGGCTATTATGATCACCTTCAGCCCGAATATTTGAAAAGAGCTCTTTTCAAATATTTGCCAGGCCGCAGCTATCTTTTCTGATGCTATCACCGGGCCGCTGGCGGGGAAGTTGGAGTACGGGCTGTATCAAGGCTGTATGACTGAACTTGTTACCGCGGAATATTTTAATTGGCGTGTCAAACCGACAGGCGAACTTCGTTGGGGGAACGGAGCGCGACTCGGAGCATCGTGGGGAATAGTGATGTTTTGGCTTTGGCCTCAGGCCAAAAAGCCACGGCTTTTTGGCTTTGGTACCAGAGCCAAGGCCAAGCCAAAATTTTGGCCCAGCTTCATGATTGCCCAGGCCAAAGCCAAGCCAAAAAGCCAGGGCTTCTGAAGTAGCCTTTACATTGGCTGTACGAGCAAAATTCACTGACTCGAGAGTGCCCAGAAAATATCAGTTGTATTACTAGTGGCCATGATTATGCTCCACACCCTACGGGATCACTATACCTGGACCCAAACTTCTAAACTTCCGGTTGCCGAAATTGGTTGTGATTTTTTCAAGTTTTGATTTGCTGTTCTCGAGTATTTGTGCACTCAGAAACACCCAGGAATGTGTCTTTCTGTTACAGGACTTCATTGGAGCACTTTTTGAACACTTTTTTAGATTTATTTGGAGTGGTTGGAAAATTCACTGGCAAGCCGGGGCCCAGGCCAAAGCCAAGCTAGGCCAAGCCAAAGCCAAATGGTTTGGCCCGGCCTGAGATTTCACTAGGCCAAAGCCACCCCAGGCCGGGCCAAAGCCGCGGCCTTCAGGTCAAGCCAAAGCCAAAATATCACTAGTGGTGAAAGAGAACTTGCTCCATGATATTCGAAGCCAAGCTAGATACGCCGGTACTGCTCAAGCTCACGTTTCCGAAAGATGTTCAATGCTGACTAGTGACACTCGCCCAAGTCCCCCGAAATTTCACGACAGGGTTTTCAACTTGAAATTCCTCGGGTGAGTTGTATGGGTAGACCTACCGGTGCAAGTCGGCGACTGAAGTTCGTTGCCACAAGATATTCACCTCTGACTCTACTGAGGCGTCAGCGTAACGGGCTGTTGAAATTCCTCCCAAGTTGAGTCACGGTGAATTGAACACCCCGGGCGCGTCTTTCTCGATGCTTCAATGACAATCTGGATTCTGAACGCCAGAAGCTAACAGCCGGCCTCACGCAGCCTCACGCCAATTACCTCAGTGCCAATGGCTGTGCGTCAAGACGACCCTGCAACGTCCACCGCATCACTATCAGACTTCTTCCGAACATGAGAACAGCTCAAACCAAAAGGTTGAGCCCACTGGGGCCCGGGGAAGACGTCTCTAGAGAAAAACGATGAAAATCCTGCATTAACCGTCTCGCATCAAATTGTTGGGAGACGCTCGGCAGTACCCACCCTAAGCTCGCATTACTTCATCGATTCGGCTTTATGGAAGCAGTTCAATTCTGCTTTAGGGATTTACCAGGTGGTTACGGTAGGCGAGAGCTACGTGGTTCGATTTAAATCAAGAACCGTGGTTTGGCTGTGATCTCCGGCTCTTCCGATCAACTTCTGATACCCACCCACTGTCCCCGGCTCGTCCTGAAGCCGCCACTGTTGCCGCCGCCGTTGCCGTTGCCTCCCGCCCATCGCGCCGCCGCCACTCCGTCTCCTAGGTTCGTGGACCAGCCGGCCCGGTGATAAATGATGCCATCACAAGACTCGGGACCGGCTGCGCTCCCTCATCGCGTGTTTCGGCGATGAACAAAAAGGGGGGCCTTATGTCGAAAATGACTAGAAAACCATCCATAATGAACAATGAGTTATTTTGATTCTCTATCGATTGGGATCAAGTTGTTTCTGGGCCAAAATGTACTTATTTTATGCTACTGAATGCCCTACAAGGGGGAAGTAAGATACATATGTCCTTACAAGCTAAAAAATTTCGCATTCACAGGCATATTGAAGAGCATTAATGTGAGTTGTTGGGAGCATTCAAATGGCAGTGGGATATGGGTGGCATAATGGTACAGTCGCGGGGCTTGATGTCGGAAAAATAATATTAGTCTTATAAGATGAAAGTCCCTTATAAGAACCTTATAAGATGAAAGTCCCTTATAAGAACCTTATAAGATGAAAGTCTCTTATAAGAACCTTATAAGGTCCTGATCAGGTCCTTATAAGAGACTTTCAGGTTATCAGGCATTATCATGACCTTATAAGGTCATTATAATGTCCTTATCAGGCTGCAAATTTTAGGGTTTTTCCGACATTGGTAAGGGCTCGGATTACGGTAGGCGAGAGCCGGTTCGATTCAAATCAAGAAACACGGTTCGGCTGTGATCTCTGGCTCCTTCTGATATCCACGCCCACTACCACGTCCCTGGCGCGTCCTGAAGCCACCGCTGTTGTTGCCGTTGCCTCCCCCCCATTGTGCCGCCTCCCACCCCCTCCTGTATCGGTTGGCCCCCCAGACCATTCATGACCTCAGTTCCAAAACCTTTTCAATTCCTGTGGCCGCTGTATCCCGATCTCGAGATTCTCTACAATCCATGGCCCGCCTCTGAGGACAAGCCATGACCTACTCTGACAAGCAACCCGTGGAGCACTCTGTCTGTGTCTCTCCAGCTAGCCAGGTCCCCACTTGCTGCTTGGGGAACACAAATACATCTGCCACCTTGCCGCTGAGCTTGGAGACGAACATATGTTCCATGAGCAGGAGACCAACACGGCGACACCTGCCAGCGGGCCCCAGAGGCAGGCAAGGACGAGGTCCCTGCAAAGGTTGAGCTCATTGGCACCATTGAGGATTTTCACGCTCTCGCAAAAGAGTGCGCTGTGTTCTTGGTCGGGCACAATGCTGAGCCTGACATGGTCGATCTGCTGGAAAGACTGGAAATTGTTGATGAGATTGCGTGGCTGGTGGATGCTAACACTTATAACCGTGTATGTCAGTGCATGATATGGTATGTTTCCTCTCCATATCTTTTTTCTCTCTTTCTG